GTATTTAACCTCGCTTAATTGATGTCGACTTTTTGTGACCGAGGTGGTTAAAAGCACATCGGATGTAATGAAGATTTCTGCTGCTAAAGGTGACGCAGGCTTGAATTCTACACGAGTGTTTTTTTTTTTTTTCTTCACGCATATGATTTCTCGAATATTCAGGCCGGTAGACGAAAATAAATATACTATTAAAAAAAAAACAAAAACGGAGACTACTCAAATATGGGTATTTATTAAATAATTTTTAAAGTGATATATATATATATATATATATATATACGAGGAAGATCTATGACAAAGGGGGAAAAGCTTGTTTTTTTTTATATAAGGCTTCTTGTCCTTGAGGATTTCATCTCATCGCACGAAAGTAATGTTTACATTCATACGATTCTGTGATGTGCGGTCGATAGTTACTCAGATTGCAATGAGTTTCGACAGGTGATATGTCAACTTGCCAGAGAGAGTCGTACATGTATACCCGATGTATGAATGTAATGCTGATTTTTGATTATTAATATTGGCGATGCAATCTCCCTGAGGGTATGGGAATTCCTAAAGAACATTATTTTGAAACAGTGCTATTTTCGAGGTTACGCTTTTTTGGCAATGATTAAATTATATATATATATATATATATATATATATATATATATATATATATATATATATATATTTTTAAAATATGATTCCAACTCGCGACATAAGAGGTCTCATTTTGTATCGAGCACTATTTTTAAAAAATAATGACTAAAATACTAAGGAACTTTGGATTATTTACCTAACCAGTTCTTTCCTATTTTCTATATATTTTCACACACACACACATATATATATATATATATATATATATATATATATATATATAGTGCAATGTAAAAATTGTCTATATAACGCAAAAAAAAAAAGAAAATACCACTGGCATCTCATTTTAACAAATATATTTACCAAAATTACACATCATTATCTTGAAATGCTAAACAGTATTTAATAAAAGCACAATTTGTCAAACCTCGCTTTTCAAACGATTTCTGAATCTTCTGCAACTCTTTCGAACGACCTCCTCGATCCTGTAGGTGAATGCCGTCATGATCCTTGCCTTTAGTACATCTTTGATGTTAAAACGAGTTTTATTGGTCTCTCGTTCAACTGTGACTCACATTTAATAATCAAGGGGATTGCAAGTGAGGGAGTTAGGCGACTAGTTACAAGGGGGGATGTGTTCACAGAAATTGTTTGACATCCATGACTGGGTTCTCCTTGTTGTGTTGCATTGTGAGGAGTACTGTTGCCAGACATAGGGTCTTCCAGCATTCAGCGTCTTGACAGAACAGCAATACCTACTCAAGGCACTTGATGTAGAACAACCTCTTGAGTCTGAGACGCTGTTGGAAGATGAATGCAGTCATAACGTTTCCAACACTAGTGATCATTTCAAACACCTTCGTAATCACCATTAGACTCCACTTCTTTCCGGATCCTCCAACCCAAACAATCTGAAATATTCGTATTAGAGCTTCCGGTGCGAATGCCAAGCAGTACAGTATTACGTTTCCAAATTTCTGGCGGAGTGAACTGCGTCATGGTGACTATAGTAAGATCAGACAGGAAATATCCCGACTGATCTTACGATGTTGTGCAATCGACAAAATTAAAAAAAAAAAAAAACAACGAGCGGAATCATATATATATATATATATATATATATAAAATGGCGACAATTTAAACATCGCACCCTGTATATATACATATAAAGAGCGGACCAAAAGTAGGCTTACAGTTGTTTCACTATTTGTTTTAGATCTAAATTCGCTGAACTTTTCTTTCAGTAAGACGGAGCACCTCCTCATTATGCTTTGACAGTAAGGGATTACCTTAACCAAATCTTGTTCGTTTGGAAGAAAGGACAGTATCAAATGGCCACCACCTTCACCTGACCTAACACCAAAGTAAAGAACAAGATTTATGAGAGAAACCCCTCCACACTGGACGAATTGAAAGAGTATATATCAGAAGTATTTATTGAAATTGATGCTGATCGGAATTTGTGTCGTGCTGTGTGTCATAGTGTTCTGGAGACGTTCAGGGAAATATTGCAATGTTGAAGGAGGACATTTTGAACACTTAGGAGACTAAACTGTGGTAAGAAAATATAAGTAAACACACACCCATATATATATATATATATATATGTGTGTGTGTGTGTGTGTTGTCGGAAACCTACCACCCCTCTTGAAGATGAACTGGTCTGCGAACAAAAACTTTAAATAGTGGCATGTCAAAAGAGAGAAACAGAGAAGTTCTTAGCTGAGCTAGTTATTGACTACTCAGGCGATTTCTGTACCTTTTTACCAACCTATTAAAACCCTTTTTATTGTTACGTGTTATTTGGCGTTTGTCTCTACTAACCCCAAATCAACATCATAACAATATGTGTGTGTGTGTGCTTGTGTGATAGAAACTATTAGGAGGAATAATAATAAGATAATTATAATTAAGTAATTCCTTGAGCCTAGACGAAACCTCAACAGAATATAGAAAGCAGTGGACGGCCGTTTCGTCCTATATTTGGGACTCATCAGCAGCGCGCATCTACTACCGAGAATTGACACCTGGACAATTACATTATCAGGTAAACGTCATATCAAACTGTACCAACGGGTCTCGGTAACGAAGAGTTAGCGTATTAGACTCTATTGAGCGCCGCTCGATCATATATTCCGTAGTGGAACTCATCCGAGTTTCCCCACGAGCCATGACTATTATCACCTATATATATATATATATATATATATATATAGTCATACCGTGATATTTTATTAGTTTCAAACGAAAAAATGCATTTATAATTTCGTATATTTTATTCTGTTTTTATTCAAGTACATTTGCCTCTCTCAGTTATTGTTAAGACCTGGCTGTTTCCAATGTCGTAGACGTAATTTTGTTGGCCACATCCTGGCATTAATTTTTGGGTGTAGAGCTTCAAATTAGACTAAACTGACACAAAGTAAGAGCACATGAGAAATTTTGTTATTATTTATATCATTTGTGTATATTTTTTCTTGATTTGTATCCTGTAGAGCAGGCTCCAAACTATGGTCCTTAGGTCTTATAGAAGAATAGCCATTTAATTGATAGCTTTTTTCTTAGCACATGTGATTCTCCTAGTAGGGCGATTTTCTGGGCAACTTTATGTTGATGTTACTTGGGACACTGTTAGTAAAACTGCCTATTCCTTTTATCATTTGGCCCAGGGATTACTTTTGGTACAGTCTCAGTCTTAATCCCCCACATTCTGTTAAAATCCATCTCAGTTTGGACAATTTCTCCACTATTTTTATGGAGATGTTTCTCTCAGATGATACTGTTATGTCAATAAGCATACACTTCACTGAAGAAGAAGACGACGAAGAAGGAAATGACGACGACGATTACGACGACGAAGAAGAAGACGACGAAGAAGTAGACGACGACGACGAAGACCAAGAAGTAGTAAAAGAAGAAGACGTCGACGACGAAGAAGACGTAAACGACGACGAAGATCAACATAGAGAACCTTTTCTACCTGCCATCACAATGGCTGATGCTAACCTCTATATTGAATCAATTTTGATGTCTACTGCTAAGAATCTCGGTATCAGCGTGTAGTTTACTCTTGCACATTTATAAATCTACCATTCATATTGCTATTGAATACTACTGCCATATCTGGTCTGGTGCTCCTACTGTACACTTTTAGATTCTTGATAAAATTCAAACAATGGTCTGTCATGTAATCGTTCCTGACCTGACATCTTCAGTCACTTTCTCGAGTGAAGTGACTTCCATCTGAATTTTCTAAAAAATATTTTCATCGCGATTTTTCTAATGAGTTTTCCTCCTTAATGCTTCGACTGCATAAATGTAAGCGTGCTACACCATTGGAAACTAGGTGGCACAGTTTCACTGCTGAACTAGCTAGATGCAACCGCCTGTTCTATTCTAATAGTTTATTTTCTCACTCTTCTCGCCTATAAAACTCGCTTCAGAATTTTTGCTTTCCTGCTACCTATAATCGTCAAAACTTTTAATATGTCAACCGCCATGTTTTATATTCCTGATCATTGTTCTGTTATTGACATTTTCCTCACTTCTCTTCACTAAAGTCTTCTCATTCTCTTTCATTCCCCGTAACTCTCTGCGTCTTCATGGCATTATCGCCTTACTTGGAGTAAAATGATAAAAAAATAAATATATTTATTCTACAGAGGTATTGTTTTCATCATTCTTCTCGCCAGACTTCGCGATATCTGGCCTTGTTCTTTCATAGAAGTGTTCTGTTTTTTTTTTGGGGGGGGGCACTAATTTTGATAATCCATCGCATTCACTTACGTGGTAATACCCTTGGGAAAAGTATGAATCCTCTTCTTCTCCACCTCCCTAGCTACGAGTAAATAGCAAGACAGACCAGGTTCTATAGCTTTGAATGGCAACTGGTCTACCGCAGAAAGAAATGGCAACCTACTGCGGGAAAAAAAATCTGCATAAACAATCAGGTATCGAAAGATACATGACCCCCTAAGTGTGTATCACGCATGACACATAACTGACTACCCAACCTGATAACTGAACTCAGAATTACTATGCCATCAAATCTACGAACCAATACTTTAATCTTCTATGCTATTTTAAGGTAGGAGGATGTGCGGGTGGTGATGTGGATAACGGTTTGGAATTAGAAATTAGATAGCCAAGTTCCAATTCCAGTCGGGTTGTTTATACTGACTTGTGTGCAAATCTACCTTTTCTTCTCCAGATATGGTTTAAACTAGTATAACGCGAATCAATAAATCGTTATTTCCTCAAAAGATTTCTTACAATTTAAATGTATTTTCTGGCTGTAATTAACCTGCAATAGTTGATAAACCGGAAAAAGAAAACTGAGATAGAAATTCCAAAAAATATTAAATAATGATCTGTAAATATTAATATACTGTTTCCCGCCTTCCCTGATCCATCATTTTATGCTTTGTCACTTAAGCAGTAATTTGTTACTTGGAGTTTCTATTCTATTCTATTTTATTCTATGCTATTATATTATATTCTAGAATATTCTATTCTATCATATCCTATATTATTCTATTCTATCTTATTCTATTATATTACGTTCTATTCTATTCTATTATATTCTATTCTTTTATATTTTATTCTATTCCATTATATAATATTCTATTCTATTATATTCTATCATATTCTATTCTATTACATTGTATTCTATTATATTCTATAATATTCTAATCTATCATATTCAATTAAATTATATTACATTCTATTCTTTTATATTTTATTCTATTCTATTATATTATTCTTTTATATTTTATTCTATTCTATTATATTATAGATTGTTTCTAGACCTATCGCTATAATGCTTTACCTAGCATTTAGTAGATAAATCTTTCTCAGATAACATGACATTTTTACGTACATTGCACATGAACGAAGTTTGGAAGAAAAAGAATTTTATAGAGTTGTTCATAATAGGCGTGTATAGAAACATTCGTTTTATTTTTCTTTATTATCTTCCCTCTTGCGATTGCATTCTTGCTGAAATCATTCTCTAACCTAGAAACATCTTACTTGCTGGCCTTGGACTGAATGATTTTTTTTTTCGACTCACAGTTAGAACTCTCCGACCTGCAGGCATCGTCGTCTTCGGAAACACAATTCCACGTGTTACATTTATCGCACGCGCGTGCACACACATATATATATATATATATATATATATATATATATATATATATATATATATATACCTGCTGGCATCTTCATAGCAAGAAAAGATCACGTGCTAAAACACAGAATCAATTCGACGAGTAATGGAGGCGCTGTTTCAAGTTATGGGTTTCGTATTTGTTTATGTACAACAATAGAGAAATTTGAACGCTGGTGCATAAAAAGATGTCTATACAACTTGTGATAAAGGCATCGCATTATTTAAATCTTACCGTACATGTAATTATTCATATGTTTATTACTTCTTCTTTTTAAACTCCTCTTTCTTCTTCTTCTTCTCAAACTCCTTCATCTTCTTTCTTCTTCTTCTTCTTCTCAAACTCCTTCATCTTCTTTCTTCTTCTTCTTCTCAAACTCCTTCATCTTCTTTCTTCTTCTTCTCAAACTCCTTCATCTTCTTTCTTCTTCTTCTTCTCAAACTCCTTCATCTTCTTTCTTCTTCTTCTCAAACTCCTTCATCTTCTTTCTTCTTCTTCTCAAACTCCTTCATCTTCTTTCTTCTTCTTCTTCTCAAACTCCTTCATCTTCTTTCTTCTTCTTCTTCTTCTCAAACTCCTTCATCCTCTTTCTTCTTCTTCTTCATCCTCTTTCTTCTTCTTCTCCTTCATCATCCTCTTTCTTCTTCTTCTTCTTCTCAAACACCTTCATCCTCTTTCTTCTTCTTCTTCTTCTTCTCAAACTCCTTCATCCTCTTCCTTCTTCTTCTTCTCAAACTCCTTCATCTTCTTTCTTCTTCTTCTCCTTCATCATCCTCTTCCTTCTTCTTCTCAAACTCCTTCATCCTCTTTCTTCTTCTCAAACTCCTTCATCTTCTTACTTCTTCTTCTCAAACTCCTTCATCTTTCTTCTTCTCCTTCATCATACTCTTCCTTCTTCTTCTCAAACTCCTTCATCCTCTTTCTTCTTCTCAAACTCCTTCATCTTCTTTCTTCTTCTTCTCAAACTCCTTCATCTTTCTTCTTCTCCTTCATCATCCTCTTCCTTCTTCTTCTCAAACTCCTTCATCTTCTTTCTTCTTCTTCTCAAACTCCTTCATCTTTCTTCTTCTCCTTCATCATCCTCTTCCTTCTTCTTCTCAAACTCCTTCATCCTCTTCCTTCTTCTTCTTCGCAAACTCCTTCATCTATTTCTTCTTCTTCTTCTCCTTCATCATCCTCTTCCTTCTTCTACTTCTTCTCAAACTCCTTCATCTTCTTTCTTCTTCTTCTCCTTCATCATCCTCTTCCTTCTTCTTCTCAAACTCCTTCATCCTCTTCCTTCTTCTACTCAAACTCCTTCATCTTCTTTCTTCTTCTTCTCCTTCATCATCCTCTTCCTTCTTCTTCTCAAACTCCTTCATCTTCTTTCTTCTTCTTCTCCTTCATCATCCTCTTCTTCTTCTTCTCAAACTCCTTCATCTTCTTTCTTCTTCTTCTCAAACTCCTTCATCTTCTTTCTTCTTCTTCTCCTTCATCATCCTCTTCTTCTTCTTCTCAAACTCCTTCATCCTCTTTCTTCTTCTTCTTCTCAAACTCCTTCATCTTCTTTCTTCTTCTTCTCCTTCATCATCCTCTTCTTCTTCTTCTCAAACTCCTTCATCCTCTTTCTTCTTCTTCTTCTCAAACTCCTTCATCTTCTTTCTTCTTCTTCTCCTTCATCATCCTCTTCCTTCTTCTTCTTCCTCTCAAACTCCTTCATCCTCTCGAGTAAATGGATGGTAGTATAGGATATGGGAGAAATGCCAAAAAGACAAAACTTTTAAATAGCTACAAGGAACAGGAAGGTGTGGAGGCCCATGATCGCCTACATCTTGAAGGAACACGTCATATAAAAAAAAAAGAAAATTCCTGATTCTGAGTATGTCTCTTCTTTTTGTTATCATTTTCTTAAAGACCTCTTTATTTTGTTTACTCGCTCCGCCCAACGGAACTTTTAATATTCTTCTGTAAAACCCTATTTCTGTTACCTCCAGGTTAGCCTTCATCTGTTAGAAGAATTCCACCATTCACTGCCATATAAAAAGATGGATTTCACACTGAAATCCAGCACTCTTTTTGTGTCTAACGAAATATTCCCGTTTTATGTGTGCATAAGCATTACGGTTTAATAATGACAATATTCAGCGTTTCTCGGTACTTTTCTTTAAACAAATATAAATTAAGTATACATCTGTATAGATTGTGTCTGTAAATGTTGTAGAAGTGTTACAGATTTCATATCAATATGCACTTTTAAAAAGAAATTGACGCAGTTTGTTTTATTGAATGCGTCTTTAAGACGAGAGTTATAAACAGAATTTCCTTCATGTTAAGCAGTATTAGTTGAAGAAATAGAAATATTTGACTCAATTGGAATAAGAAAAAAAAAACCCAAAATAATGCAAAATATTACTGCCTTTGCCTTTGTATAAATTTACATTTAGTAACATTTATGTTACATGAAGTGACCAAAAAAATAAAATAAAATAAAAATAAACACGGCAGCGTTTCCTCGCTGGATTCTCTTTAGGAGGGAAGACGCTAAGGCTGATACGTAAGTAATCAAGCTATTTACCTGTGAATAAATTATGCAACAACATAAATTTAATTGTAGTCTAATTTAAGCGTGTGACGAGTGAAGATTATATGTAAAGTCAACAAGCACCCAAAAAATGGGTTGGCCATCTTCATTAAGAGAACATACACTTTCACATACATTCTCTCTCTCTCTCTCTCTCGATATATATATATATATATATATATATATATATATATATATATATATGAAAGTTTAATGGTCAGAGTTGGTCAGATAGAATACGCGGCATTGGTTTCTACCTCACGGTCTCATCAGGCTAATTCTATTAACTAACCATCCAACGCTTTATTTTTATATTTTTATAGTTTATATTATATATATATATATATATATATATATATATATATATATATATATATATATATATATAAGTTGTATCCTCTCTTTTTCTGTCTGTCTGCTATCGAACTTTGGCTTTTGAAGATAGATCCTCCATAACAATATATATTCTGAAACTATATTCCCCAGGGTACTTGGATAAGTATATTTCATTTTGATCAATATATAATGTACGGATTGAAACATATACATTACGTATTTTAGACGCTCCCCCAAAAAGTTACGGTTTTTGAATATATAAATCATTAGGTAAACACAAACACTAGAAAGCAAGATAAATTACGAAATATTCGTACATAAATAAACAAATCTTGAAAAGTGTATTAATTTTAGAAAAAAAAATGAGAGAAAAACTGAAAATATAAATTCGGATTTAAGCCTGAAATACTCGTCGATTATGAAATTATTTAACATACAATAAATTGATTTGTATTCTCTTTTTGGCAGTACAAACCTCTAAGCTATGAATTGATACAAAAAAATGAACGAGAGTAGAATATGAAAAGACAGAAAGTAAAAATAAGACAAAGGATCTTCAGGTTATTTGTACAAAAATAAATAAATTCTAATACGGAAAAAATCGTTAACTTTGGAAAAATTTGAAAGAAATGATAATAAACAATACATGCAATTACAAATGATTGTACTTATTAATATATAATATGACAATGGAAATAATTTCTAACAGAGACAGAAATCGAATCGACCGTTACTGTGAGACTGAAATCAAATATCCTAATTAGAGATTCGTATTTCTCTTATGACAGAACTGGAGACAAGTATCGAAACAAAAAAAAAATGAGGAAAACGTTTTCTCGAAGCTCCTTCACTTAAACGTTTTCGTTTTGTAGAGTAATTCTCCTGAGAACTTTGGCGCCTTCTCTTATATTTTTCGACGAGAAATCCAAACAAATAAAACGAAAAACACCAGACATTCACGAGGTGAAGATTAGGAATTTGAGGATGCAAAATTCAGTATTGTGTTCGCAGGAATAAGATTGTCAAAACGGTAGATATAAGCAAGAAGAAAATACTCGTAAGGATTAAATGAGAAACTTGAGCCAAGATTCAAAGTGTTTGGTTGTTTGGAATTAACGGAGAGAATAAAGATAAAATGATAAGAAACGAAAATAAATCATATAAAATCAATGAAAAATAACATTGTGTTAAAAATAAGTATTTTTCGTCTATCTCAATAAACTGTGACTATTACTTTTTAGTATATATATATATATATATATATATATATATATATATATATATATATATATATATATGTGTGTGTGTGTGGGTATGCCGAAAATAGAAAAGAACACGTTGGGTGCATAATCCGTAGTTCCTTAGTATTTTTTTTTTTCAAGAAGACAGTGCTCCATACAGAAGTAGAGCTTATATTATAATATTTTTGGTTTAATGGTTCATTTTAAAAAGAATTTGTTTAAAGGTTTATTTTATATATATATATATATATATATATATATATATATATAGATCACTCACACGTCTATATATTATAATCTAAACGCTATTTTCAGTGGATACCTCTATTTGGTTCGACGTTCCGTTTATTTTTAAACGGTATATTTATTTATTTTCGTCCACCAATCTGAATATTCGGGAAATCTTATTAAAGAAAAACTATGTACTTTTAGAACACTTCGAATCTGCGTACCACTTTGCGTGAGAAATCGTCGTTAGATCCGACAAGCTCATCACCGATTCATGCACAGATTGCGCCAACGATCAGGCAGAGCCGAGCAGTACCATATAAACACAAATCTATCTCAAATTCTTGAAACATTCATGTCTGCATAGTTTTTGTCCTGACGTAAACAAAGCAATTTCTAAAGAAGTTCAGGGTTCGATCGGTGATGATGGAATGTAGCTAGTTTGGTTTTCGAGGCATTGAATGTAACTAGCCAGCCACATCTCCCCACCACACACACACTCTAAGATGTTAGAGCTAGATCGGAGAAGAGATCTGCTGCCAGACTCTAGCCAACAAAAGCTGCATCCATGTCGTTTCATCAGCATAGGTGTTCACAAATGATCGGAATATACCCTAAGGCAGATCATTTATGTAAAGTAAAAAGATGCGACACTAGGGTGGGTTGCCTACATTGATTGCTAGGGATCCGGAGGACCGGCCGTTCAGAAAGCTATCCGTTAGAAAGGACCATTATTAAGAAAATTCTTCCAGTGTGAGAAGCAATCCTTTCTGATGTCACACCTTGTCAAAGACCTTTGAAATATTTAAAGCTATGGTCCTTGAGATTTATTTGTTGTTTAGTGTCTCACGGATTCTCAGAAAAATGGCAGTTAGGACATCAGCAGTGGATCGGGACGATCCAAACACAAACTGCTGGTCGCTTAAGTGGTTGTTACTATTTAGGTGATCAACAACCTTATTGTTGATTATAGCTAAAAAGTTCGCTAATGACACTGAAGAGATTGATGGGTCTATACTAAAACAGAGATGAGCACTCGCTCGTGTTCTTAAAAACGGGGTGCACTCTCTACAGCTTCCGCAGGAAGGATTCTTATTCAAGCAGCGGTTAAATAACGAATATATAATTTAATAAATTGTAATTGTATTTTAAAGAAAACTTTCGATAATGAAAAACAAAAAAATATTTAAGACTCAGCATAATATTCTGATGTTGATATTTGCATGTGAAAAACCTCTACTCGAGTAAAGAAAGTTATGGAAGACCATGATCGCTTGCGACTTCATGTACTGACTCAATGCTCTATTATTGTGAAGGTTCGCTTCTCAGTCCAACCCACATTCATAATTTATATAATTGATCTGCCTAAGAATAAACTCCAATCATTGGTGAATATCTATGCTGAAGACACAGCGGTATATGGTTGTACTTCTAGAACCCTAGACGACTAGACCTTGCCAACTGATATCTCCTGTGACCTAGTTCTAACAACTCACTGAGTGAAAAACTCACTTGAAAGCCGAACTAGTGATATTCCACCATCGGCGATAGGATCCAGAACTAACAACTACGAACGAATGTTCCTTCATATAAACATATATTGAGAATGAATCTCAGCCCAGACAGCAAGTGGAGTTCGTACATACAATATATCCGTAAAGATGCTGAGTAATGGTCGATTCCACGTACTGCTCCTGTAAGCACCTAACTTTTCCTGCAATCCTCTACAAGAGTCGGAAGAGACCGAAAATGGGCTACTGCTATCATATTTGTATAAGAGATGCCCAGTCTTAATTTTCTAATCTCAATATAGTCCAAAAGCGTCCCAGCGAACTTCTAGATGACTGATTATCTTCGACCCTACAGCCTCTTTCTCTTTCTCGCTGCTATGTCACGATTTCCGTGGAGAGTGTTGAAATAAACTACATTTTTTTTTAAGTATTTCATCCCAAGCAAGGCGGGAAGCCACCAGGACGCAAGGGGTTAAAGAAAACTTAGAGCAGGATCAGATAGGAGTGATAGAAGAAAGGATGAGGGTAGTGGATAGATCAAGGCAAATGGAGATGTCGATTGACATTACACTTGAATAGCTGGAGATTATAGCTCACAGGGAAACAGGAGAAGGGAAGGGAGTTCCACAGGCGAGAGGTGCGAGACATGAAGCTATTAGAGTAGAAGAGACGGCTACATTTAGGAGTTTCGACAGTGAAGGGGTGAGAGCGGGATGCCAGCCTCGTCGGGCGCTTGAACTCATGACCCCTGGGAACCAGCGAATGCAACTCCTCGGAGCAATTTCCATGAAAGTATTTGTAGAACAGACAGAGGGAGGCGACGGCGCGTCTGTGAGAAAGTGACCGTAGACGAGACGCCAGGGCAGGGCCAACTACATTGCATATCCGCCTCTGGAGCCTATCAAGAACCCCGAGGCAAACAGAAGGGGCACCAGACCATATATGGCAGCAATACTCCATGCAAGGGCGAATTGTAGATTTGTAGATCTGGAGGATCGACTCTGGGGAGAAAAAATGTCCTGGCGCGGCTCAGGGAGCCAACTTTCCTTGCAGTGGACGAAGCAATTGACTCAATGTCTTTATTCCATCTCAGGTCAGCACTCAACGTGAGACCGAGAAGCCGCAGAGAGTTGTTCTCGAGAAGTTGAGCGTCAGACATTCTAATGGAGGGAAGGGAAGGATCTCTGTGGTGATTAATAGAGAGCAGTTTTTTCTTAGAAGCGTTGAAGTTGACCAGCCAATTCATGCCCCAGTTTACAATCGATTGGAGGTCCTTTTCGAGACGCACCGCCAGGTGAGTTTTGTCAGCGAGACTAGATTTGTTTTTGAGGCAGGAATATGTCTTAGTTCCATCAGTCTTAACGTTCATGCCATACCACGCACATTGTAGCAAACCATCCACATTCCCTTCGTATTCACCTGGTGGCATGTAAGTTCCACTGCACTAGCTTTTTCCCACGAACCCTTGCCTCGTGGAACCGACTCTCGCGAGGTTTTTTCACTGATAATTACAGTCCTAACCTGTTCAAGTCTAAGGTTAACTGTTATCTTCCACAGATATCTACATAAGCTATGCATCTTATTCTGTAACCCTCTACCTAGAATGGTCCTCGGACGTTGTACGGGGTGAACGTCATTGTAAAAGAAAAGAAAAGTAAATATAAGTGTAGTCAATAATGAAAGGCGTTTACCGAAGAGCAATGTGAAGCAAGATATACTTTTACTCTGGTGTTTTTTATCTAAGTTCTTTAAAGCTTGAAGCAATGTGCCCGCTTATATTCAGTTTGACAGATACCGATAGCTACTGATAAACGTACTCTGTTTTTAACTGTCTGAAAAAGAAAAAAAAACTTAAAACAATTTCCTTTACTATTTTTATGCATTACACGATTTATAGTTTTAAATATGTATTAAGTTTCCATTGAGTTCTTTGCACATGGAGTCTCAGCTAAACATATTAGGACGTATATCGATGAGGATTGAACTACTTTTCGATCTTTTAATGGTTTGCTTGAAGCAGTTACATTTTCTATAGCTTCTGCATTGCGCAGTTTTTCAGGGTTATTTTTAAATTGTCTGATGGACACAGATTTAGTGCTGTCATTTAGGCGCGCTGCATAATTTCATTGATGAACCTGAATATCAAAGGTAAATCATCAAGCCCTTTATCATTTTCGTCTCTTCCCATTCATGCAAAATGATTGTGCATTACATAACAATATTAACTTCTATTTCCGTTTATCATAATTTGTCTTCGTATCCAACATCGTAGCTGACCATATATATATATATATATATATATATATATATATATATACGTTTCATTAAATAATATAGACAAGTGTTGTCTATTTATTTTATGTAAATTCTTTTCATAACGTCTTTTAAGTTTAATAACATTATCATTGAACGAAGAAAGAAATTCACAATATTGATCCATATTTTTAATACAATCTGTATTATTTAATGAAACGTGTATGAATGAAAAGATGCTGCCTAAATACACACAATATATATATATATATATATATATATATATATATATAAAGACATTTTATGTTTATACATTCTTTTTTACAGATACAAATATTTAAGTAAGTGCTCTGTTTATAATAAATGAATGAACGGTGTAACCAGCACCAGTTCATGACTGTTGAACTCTCTGCTTTGGCAGAGAGGAACCCGGACGATGCTTTGCCGAAGGGCAGGGTTTCGTCTGGGGAGGTAGACAGGCCATGAACCCGTCTGGGGCGGGTTCAAAGGGTATATTTTTGGCCGAGCCTACGGGCTTGGAGAAACCCACTTTAATCTCGGCCTCGTGCCACATATATTCCTCGTGGGTGGGATATTAAATACAATAATAAACAGTATTAACAACATTTACCTTCCTGAATGTCCGTGAAATTTTCATAGAAAATATGCGGCCTTACATGACGCATATTTTCTATGAAAATTTCTCGGCCATTCTTGTTAATATGTTAAAACTCCAGGTTTTAATAATTCTGATTAATTCTCCTCAAAGAAGCTGTTGGCATTAATCCAAGCGTATGAATTTCTGAATGAATTCTTTATCTTGTTTTCTTGAAATTACCCGTGTGTTTCCTCGCCAGTATCCTCCTTTGTTAAACGTCTTGGCTGGGTAAATCAGCTGTTCATTTTAACCCCTAAGACCCACGCCATTATACTGTCTTTCTTTGTCTTATTTTACACCCTTTCCGTTACTTCTGAATTTTTAATCACTGCAATTTCTGCAATTTTCTCAGTTATATATTCTTTCTTTCTTTCTTACTTTCTTTCTTTCTCGTATTGCCTCTTTCTTTCTTTCTCGTATTGCCTCTTTCTTTCTTTCTTTCTTTCTCGTTTGCCTCTTTCTTTCTTTCTCGTATTGCCTCTTTCTTTCTTTCTTTCTTTCTTTCTTTCTTTCTCGTATTGCCTCTTTCTTTCTTTCTTTCTCGTATTGACTCTTTCTTTCTTTCTTTCTTTCTCGTATTGCCTCTTTCATTCTTTCTTTCAACGAATTTTTGTTACTTTTAGTTTTTTTCTTTTTTCGCTTCGTTCTTTCTTTCTCAATTTTTACCTACAAAAATTTCTGTCCTTTTTGCTGAATTAAATTCTGTTTCTTTCTTTCTTTATTTCTTTTTCTTTCTTTGTCACATAATTCGTCTTTTTCTTTACTTCTTAATCTTTACCCATGGTAATATCTTCATTTTTCGGGGTTAAAATATACTTTCTTTTTTTCTTTCAGTGTCATACTGTTTCTTTCTTTCAACGAATATATTTTTTTATTTTTTCTTTCTTGACATCATTCTTTCTTTCTCGATTTTTACCACAATTTCTACCGTTTTTTGAATCATATTTTCTTTCTTTCTTTCTCCTTTTTTTCTTTCTTTCTTATACACCGCCTTTATTTCTTTCATTTGACGAATTCGTTTCATTCATTTTTATTTCTTCCGTTCGTTCTTTCTTTATCGATTTTCCCACGGTGCTTTTTTTGCCCTTTTCTAAATTATATTTTCCCTTTTCTTTCATTCTATTTTCTTTTTACTTTCCTTTCTTTAGTTCTTTTATTTTTCTTTCTTTTCCCTTACCCTTTTTATTCATTATTTTTTTCATTTGTTCCCGCTTTGTTCTTCCCTATCCCAAATTCTTCTTATCCATTTAACAGCATTTTCATTCTCACCTATGAAGTTTTGCTGTATATCTCAACTTTACTTCCCAACTGAAATTGATTGGAATTTCTACTCCCCAATTACGCGATTATCATGTCCAACTCATTAGCCGACACAAGAAATGCCCCTGGCAGTCCCCTGGCAAATGAAATGCCAACGAGCTTGTCTGCACAAGATTTACACATATAGCGTGCAAGCATTCTAATGTTATAGTTGTAATCTACGTTTAATTTGTAGACATTCTTGAAAGATTTTGTTTGTTATTTTTTTAAAACTCCAATGTTCATTACGTGACTTTATTATAAATATCCCGGACAAATATTTTTATTTAAATGTATTTTAACTTTACTTTAATCAAAAGAAGACTTAATTATACTGTCTACAAAACTGTATAGATCATTGATAGATTTGGTTTATTTCAGGACAAAATCACCATGGTATAATGGGAAGAAATATGTTTGTGTTGGTTCTATCATTGAATTTCAAAGAGATTAACTGCCAATGTTTATCATGCTAAGCCTAGCAATATTTCTTTAAATTTAAATGAATTTAAAAGGTTTAATGCTAATCATCTAAGTCCGGGCTGTCGAATTCATTCAGGGATGTGTCAGTTTTGGATACGAATCGATTGGTCATGTAAAACCTGCAATTATCATAACTGATACAAAACACTCATCTACAAAACTATTTTGACGTTGGTCAAAATGAGGCAAGAAGTGAGGCAAGAAGTAGTGATGCAAGAAGACTTGGAGAATAAATTAGGTAAGAAGGCTTAGAGAATAATTAGTTAAAAAGGCTTGGAACGTAATGAGGCAAGAAAGCTTGGAGAGTAATGAGGCAAGAAAGTTTAGAGGCAAGAAAACTTTGAGAATAATAAAACACAAACTCTTAGAGAGTAACGACGCAGGAATGATTGGAGAATAATTAGGCATGAAGACTTGGAAAATAAGGAAACAAGAAAAAAAAATAAATTAAAAATAATGAGGCAAGAAGGCTTAGAGAATAATGAGGCAAGAAGGCTTAGAGAATAATGAGGCAAGAAGTCTTAGAGAATAATTCGGTAAAAAGGCTTGGAAAATAATGAGGCAAGAAGGCTTGGAACATAATGAGGAAGAAAGCTTTGAAAAATAATAAAAAAAAGCTTGGAGATTCATGGGCAAGAAGGCTTAGAGAATAATGAGGCAAGGCAATTGAGAAGGATTAAGATATTGGGACAAGACGAATAATGAGGCTTTCCGTAATGCCTAACGAGCTTTTTTAACCTGAAAATTATTAAACGATAATATAGTTTGCTTATTTGTTCATTTCGTACAATTAACATGTTTTTCTTGTTCTATTAAATACCATGCCCGTTTAGATTGCTGGTATAATAGCTCTCCACTATTTCCTGTTTATTCTGCCCAGCAATTTTTTTACTATCTTTCCCATTTCTTGTTCTGTCCATTTGACTTGAGATGAACTGCATCCTTGGCAGCAGGTACTTCTTTAGATTCTTTACTATTTAACACGTAGCTGTTTGGGAGAAGAGACAGAATTTTTTCCGAATGCTTCTAACCTGAAACTGGATGCAACTAACTAGACATTGACTCTTCGGGAACAAATCAGATCTAGTGTCGTTCGATTTTCCGGCAGCAAGGTCTCTGATCTGCAGGTTTTGAGAAGCGCGGGGACACTTCTTCATTTTTGTTGTTCCCAGGTTCGCCCTAACCCAGGATGGTAGATTTTTTTATAGTTTCACTCTTTTAAAAGCCCGGATGACACTCAAGGTAGAGGGTTACGTTTGGAGTACATTTATGTGTATAGGAGTGGAAAATAACGGTTAGCCCTAGCCATAAACAGGTTAAGATTGTAGGGATCTGGGGAAATATCATGTTGATAGTCGATTCTACAGGGAAGTGGTACGCGTAAAGAAGCTGCTCAGGTGGGAGCTGCTCACCGACAGAATACGGAGGAAATGTTGGTGGTTTTCTACAATGTCAGTCGCATGGTGTGTTCCTGCTATGAAAGTTTGCCTCGGCGGGAACAGAGAATGTAGTTCGTTCGAGCACTTTCCTGGGAAGTATCGGTATGGAAGTGAGAGACTTGCTGCATGTGGGAGAGAGCTTGAAGCGTGGAGAATAACTCATCACCGACAACTGCACGTAAAACCTGTTAGGGTCCCAATTATTTGCAAATAGTTAACTCCAAAACTGGTGTCAGAACACTATAAAAGTTTAGAAATACATTCTTATAGTAAAAATACCAGCAATATATCTCTATCTATAAAAGGCATTATGTGTGTGTGTGTGTGTAACGAATGCACGCCCGCAATTTTCGACGGATTAGCACCAAAATGTACATGCACAAAGTTAGCGAGAAGGCCAAGACAGTCTTTGCATTTCCCAACTGCCATCGATAGTAGAAATAATCGATTTTTCATGCTTCTACGGCAGTTTTCATGTAGTTTGCGGCCATTTTGTACTGGCCAGAGTGAGAGCCTATAGCTGGCTGCCACGAATAGGCAGGAAGATTCTATTGGCCAGCGTGAGAGCCAACAGCTGACTGACACGAATGTTAACTAGCATGCTAACATGCAAAAAAAAAATCGATAGCTGCATTCGTCACAAGTAGGAAAAATTTAAATTTGCATGGTACTTTACTCCAGTTGGCTAATTCGATTGCTTAAACTCAACGTTGATTCTGATTCCGCAGAACTGGGTTATGTGTGAAAATGTATTTGTTGTTAACATTCTATTTTCATTCGGTTTTTCCAGTTACGAGTCCTTTTTTAAAGCTGATCGTTTTGTGTTCCTTTTGTTTAGTTCTTTTTTCGTAACAGATTTAATATTTAGTATAGAGCTCAGAAATAATTCGCAGTGCGAGATAGGCAAGAAGTAAGGCATGTAGTAACATCAGCACGGCAAAGGGCACTCCTTTAAAGGCAAGGAAGGGCAAAAATATTTTAAGTCAAGTGATAGCGATTGCTGTATGACTCGTACGGTTTTTGAATCAAGCACGGACAACGCCAGGCCATACTGCTAGTTTTGTTATAAAGTAAGAAAATTAAATTTTGGCATTAAATGAACCATATATAATTTTCCAGAAAAATCGATGGAGTAAAAAAAATAAATAAATAAAGACCACAAAACTAACAGCGTACGAACATCGTTAAGGTATGTAAATAAAATACTTTTTTAAAATTATTATTGTTTAGATTACGGAGTCTGATGTTTTTTGTAACCGTAACACTATGGTATTACAAAATGTCATCTCTATGTCATCTTTTACTACTGTATCCATTTTTTTGATTTCATTCACCTACTAAAATTCGTGCTGCTTTTCTATGAATAATCAGTCAGCTTGTGCCATGCGTGATGCACGCTTAGGCGATAATTTATCTTTCGATACATGACTGATGAGGCAGATTTTTCCAGCAGTAGGCTGCCATAGGCCAGTTGCCATTCAAGTCTATAGAATCCGGTCTGTCCTGATATTTACCCATAGCTTGAGGGTATTCATGCCTTTTGCAACGTAAGTGAATGTAATGGATTCGACTGGAACTCGGTTCTCCGATTCCTCAGTCCGAGCCGCTATCCATTACTCCACAGTGCCAGTGAATGATTATATATATATATATATATATATATATATATATATATATATATATATATATATATATATATATATATATATATATATATATATATATATATACCTGACAGTTTGTATCTTCTTTCTTCTATACATATTTATATTTTTTTTTTAAATTCTTTTCCTTCCGCTTTCAGTCTCTTTCTTTTACACATGCATATCGCCTTTCTAACACTTATTTTCCTTTACTTATCAAAGCATGTAATAATTATCAATATGGATTCATTTTAGTATTTCCTGTCCAATCTGAGAGGAAGATAAATCAACATAAACTAGTAAATGTATGAGTGATTTCTTCCCTTAGTCATTTAATAATCTATATAAATAAAATATTTACCTGCATTTAGAGAAAATTAGTTCTCGAGCAAAATTAATCTTCCTTTAATCGTTTTTTTTTTTTATCTCGCAGTCTTATTTGTTCAAGTCTTTCATGTGAGGCACTCAGATACTTTTGTCTATTAAGTGATCGTTTTGCTTGAACTTGGTCTTTTTCGTCCAAAAGTTATTTATATAATACCGAGTGTAACCTGTGAATCATAGATACCATTGAATGTCTAAAACAAAATAAAGGGAACGTAAAAATTAAGCGGTTTATTAGCCTATACTGCGAATTCTTTATCTCTCTTTTATTGAATCACAATACATTGTTACTGTTGCACCGGCCTCTAACACAAGTGAATTACGCCGGTTCTCACTATATATGGTGCCAGTAATACCTACCCGGTGTAAGCAGCGACAGTACTACAACTGCCTAGCTGAGTAGTACCCGTTTCCTACCTTTGTATCTGTGATGTTAAATACACTTGTTCCTTAAACCAACTTCGACTTGATTTTCTTATTTTTACTATTGTGCCACGACACAACAGTTACTATATATTTTTTTCATTGCATCTCAATCTTAAATCTTTCTAATAATTGCCGTCATTTTCGACGGCTCTGTTACGCTAATATATATATATATATATATATATATATTATTTTCTTTTTACAAAATATGAGTCCATCGCGGCACAGAAATATCTGTTTCAAAACTGAAACTAAAGTAGTAAATTTAATTATAAAACTTAAACTTAAAATCCAGAGATTCGTTCCATTGTCAAGCGATGTTAGGAATAACTTTGTAAGAAATTTACTTAATTTATAAGCGCAGGTAATCTTAATATTTTGAGTTGTTAAGGTTAAGGGAAATTTAATCTATTTTGATTAGGGGTGGTTGGGTTTTAATTTCCTTAGACAAATTTTATATCAAATATATGTTACTTACAAAGTCAGGTTAAGTTTAGGTGGGGTGGGTTTGCATGCTCACAAACAGAGAAAATCCGTTATTCAGTGTGTCGTCTGCCAATTTATTTATTTATTTTTTTGATTGAAAACCCAGATAATATTATGCTCTACTCTTTGTAGCGAGCACTGTTATTTTTTTTAAATAAAATAATTCCTAAGAACACTGGATTATAAATCTTACTATTCTTTCTTCTTCTTCTATATATATGCGTGTATGTGTGTGTGCGTAAAACTGTCCATACGTAAATATTTCTTTTCACTTTTCTTTTTCACTCATATCGTCACAAAAAAAAAAAATGTATCATGCAAATACATATTTCTCTCTTTCATTCACTCAGTATAATTTCCTTTTCATTTCTCGTTCTACCCGTCGCTCTCTCTTTTCCACAAACGGCTTATAAGAATTACAAGGGAAAATTAACACCGTCAATAATGTCTGAGTGGCTATTTACGAAGAGGCATTCTCGTCACTAGTGGCGTAAAACCGATTGCAGAAGATGAACAAGAAAAAAATAGAAAAGTATAAAAAAAAAAAATAAATAAAATAAAAAAAATAATAAAGGAAATAAAAAAAATGTCGACGGAAAAGTATCCAGTGCCTACCAGCATTTCTATTTCTCTCCATGCACACCAATCTGATAGCGAAGTCATCTTACTTTACAACCTCTTCTCGCTACGAAGATCGTTGGAACCACATTGACCCGAAAATATCGCTTGCTTTTCTACCAACCACATTAATATTGTTTTTTGATATTGTCTCTACTTTTGTTATTTCATGTTCTTATTTCATTTGGTTTTTTTTTTCATGGCAATATGTTTACTGTCGATTCTGTTCTTTTTTTATTCCTCACGTTTTTATCCCGATGCTTTTAAAAAGCAGAGAGTAAATAATATGGTCAAAAGGTAGTCTGAAAAAAGAAAATATGATAACAAACTGGAAGTTGCAGCGACACAAATAAAAGTCAGGATTACATAACCAAGTTTGAATCAACATTCTATATATAATAATAAAAATAATGACAACGATGATGACGATGATGTTGATCCTCATAAAAATGATAATGATCATCATAAAAATGATAATGATCATCATAATAATAATAATGATCATAATAATAATAATGATGTGACGATGATAATGTTGATGATGTTAAAAATGATGATAATAATAATACTGATAGTAATGATATTGATAATAATAATGATTGTGATGATGCTGATAATAATACTAATGTGATAATAATGATGATGACGATAATAATAATGATGGTGATGATGAAAATAATAATAATAATAATTATAATGTGTTAATAATAATTATGGTGATGATTACGATGATAATAATAATAATGATGGTGATGATGATAATAATAATGACGAGGAAAATAATAATGATAATAATAATGATAATGTGTTAATAATAATTATGGTGATGATTACGGTGATCATAATAATGATAGTGATGTTGATGATAATAATGATGACGATGAAAATAATAATAATTATAATGTGTTAATAATAATTATAGTGATGACTACGACGATAATAATAATAATAATAATAATAATAATAATAATGGTGATTATGATGATAATGGTGACCATGATAATAATAATAATAATAATAATAATAATGGTGATTATGATGATAATGGTGACCATGATAATAATAATAATAATAATAATAATAATGGTGATTATGATGATAATGGTGACCATGATAATATAATAATAATAATAATAATGATAATAATAATAATAATGGTGATTATGATGATAATGGTGACCATGATAATAATAATAATAATAATAATAATGATAATAATAATAATAATGGTGATTATGATGATAATGCTGACCATGATAATAATAATAATAATAATAATGATAATAATAATAATAATGGTGATTATGATGATAATGGTTGACCATGATAATAATAATAATAATAATAATAATAATAATAATAATGGTGATTATGATGATAATGGTGACCATGATAATAATAATAATAATAATAATAATATAATAATAATAATAATGGTGATTATGATGATAATGGTGACCATGATAATAATAATAATAATAATGATAATAATAATAATAATGGTGATTATGATGATAATGGTGACCATGATAATAATAATAATAATAATAATAATAATAATGATAATAATAATAATAATGGTGATTATGATGATAATGGTGACCATGATAATAATAATAATAATGATAATGATAATAATAATAATAATGGTGATTATGATGATAATGCTGACCATGATAATAATAATAATAATAATAATAATGATAATAATAATAATAATGGTGATTATGATGATAATGCTGACCATGATAATAATAATAATAATAATAATAATGATAATAATAATAATAATGGTGATTATGATGATAATGTTGACCATGATAATAATAATAATAATAATAATAATGATAATAATAATAATGGTGATTATGATGATAATGCTGACCATGATAATAATAATAATAATAATAATAATAATGATAATAATAATAATAATGGTGATTATGATGATAATGGTGACCATGATAATAATAATAATAATAATAATAATAATGATAATAATAATGGTGATTATGATGATAATGGTGACCATGATAATAATAATAATAAATAATGATAATAATAATAATAATGGTGATTATGATGATAATGGTGACCATGATAATAATAATAATAATAATAATAATGATAATAATAATAATAATGGTGATTATGATGATAATGGTGACCATGATAATAATAATAATAATAATAATGATAATAATAATAATAATGGTGATTATGATGATAATGGTGACCATGATAATAATAATAATAATAATAATAATGATAATAATAATAATAATGGTGATTATGATGATAATGGTGACCATGATAATAATAATAATAATAATAATAATCTTCCCAGTCTTCCCTCTCCTGATTTCTGATCTTAATTGACTAGTCGTGTTAACTGGTGAATGGTGAATAAAAATTGGGTACGGTAAATACCATTTTGAGCACCAGGGATTTGTCTGTCACTTGGCAAACCTGAACTAGCTGAGCATTTCGTTCATACTCTGATGCATTGTGCTCCTATGTTCATGAGTTGAAGGAAGAAGTAAGCTGTCAAGATTTTTGGTCATTATAATTTCTGAAGTAAACTATGTAGTTAAATCTAGATACTTGGAAACGCCGTCAATTAGAGACCGTGTGAGCAGACTGAAGCTATTTTAACTTGGTTCTGCCAGCACGAGTAGGAATTGCTTTTATCAAAACCTGTCACCATTTGGCTGTGAGACATTTAGCGGTTACACGCTTACCAGACTGTGCGTCATGATGTGTATATTGGACATTTATTTTTAGACAAACGTCACTTTGTTGGCGAGTTGTTTTCTCATTTAATGATAATGATAAGAAGAATATACACTAAGATGTACTGTCTATTCTTGTTTGCTTTTACTGCAGACATCTTGTTCAGTAGAAGGGCGCAATCACACTAATGTAATATACTAAAAACAGATCCGCATACATTCATATATATATATATATATATATATATATATATATATATATATATATATATGTGTGTGTGTGTGTGTGTGTGTGTGTATATGTAGACAGAGAGAGAGATAGAAAAGAAAAACAGAGGATATCTAATAGGATTACTGTCATCATTGCTGCCAGCCATTGTTGTAAGTGGCTTAGGTAAGAAATAAGTTTTAATAGAAGGGCGTAGAGGCCATATGAGCAAATGAACAAATAAAATTTATTATTTATTTTTCATAATCTATAGACAGTTATCTATCTATCTATCTCATTCTGTCCATATCTATCTATCTCATTCTGTCCATATCTATCTATCTATTTATCTATGTATCTATCAGTTTGTATGTTTGCCTACCTATCTATTTTGCATCTATCTATCTGTCTATCTGGGACATACACGCAAAAACACATACACACACACGCACACAAAAGCGCACACACAATGCACACATGTAATGACTCCAATTTATTTCCACAAACAACCACAAAAGATATAGTTTGCAAAATAATATTGTCTGATATAGTAAGTTTTAGCGATAAAAACACAATTTTCCACATAGTCAACACCATTGTCTGTGCATTTTTACAAGTGATAAACAAGACTTTTTTTATCATTGTTATATATATATATATATATATATATATATATATATGAGTGTGTTAGTGTATGTTTGTGCCTCGACAGATCATGATGAGCCCGAGGATTGCGTTTGCTTAATTCAGCTGGTGACTGTACCACGGCGTCTCCTTGAACAATTCCTGTCCTCTAGCATTCTCTTGGGTTATGCAAGAATTACATTTAATAATGCCCATTACATTATTTTAATTTGCACCCGAAAACTGTGAAGATGCCTATTGCCTATTATTAATTAATGTTTACACCCTGCGTAAAACGATCTGACTATAGTATCATAAGATCAATTTTGACTATGATTATGAAGTATTTTACTAGTAATTCTGTAGTCCTGGGTATAAACTACATCCGGAGACAAGGCATCTGATCGAGTGATTGGAGGTGTGGAGCAGCGTGAACTCACCTTTTAAATGCAGTTGTTGCCAGGTCTACCAATAACCGGGGTAGTAGCCCTTGCTAGGATTCGAACTATGGTTAAATAGGGAACCCCGAAACAAAAACAAAACACTGTAAAATACCAGCAATATATATATATATATATATATATATATATATATATATATAGAGAGAGAGAGAGAGAGAGAGAGAGAGATTTGAAAAGTAACTCAATATTTTATGTATGATGAACTCACCCATGACTAATTTTTAGATGATGGAGAAGTTCATCATACATAAAATACGGAGTTACTTTTCAATCACACTGTATATATATAAATGAAGCAAAATGAGCAGCAATACATTTTATCTGTAGTTGAACGGATACAGTTGCGTTCAAAATATATTTAGATGAAACGAAAAAAATCGTGCTAAAATATTTAGATTTCGGTATTAAATTACTCATATGAGGCAAAATAAATTCAACTAATCAACGAGTAATGTTTTATTGTAAGAAGTGATTTTCTATGCTTGTAAAAATAGACTGTTCATGTTTAGTTAATGATCTAAAAATGGTAACCAGGTTGTCGCAGATAAATAATGGCGAAAACGGTAAAAAGAAAATACGAAGACAGACACGAGAAGAAATCGGAACGTTGCAATGACAGAATCTTTGTGTATCTAGCAAATAGTTTAGCATGATGATCCCTATAGCTACGTGTAAAAATTAAGAATTTCTATAAAATGATAATAATTAATCGGTAAAGAATGTATAAACATAAAAAAAAATGTCTTAAAATAATTGTCGGACTTTGGCTATTTCATAATGTGTGACGTCATTTGTTTACATTTGATACAACATGAGCCGACATGAATGTATGTGAGAGATTCATAGAAGATTGAAGTTCAAAGACAGTAAATTTGACCTTGCTAACCGAACTTGGCCAAATCGGCTAAAGGCACGTCAAGTTAAATGACGGTACCGCATAGGATACAGGTTCGAATTCTATCGGAGTAGGAAGATTTTCTATGAAAATTTCTCGGACATTCAGGCCAGTAAATGTTGTTTAATACTGTTTATTATAAACAAAGCATTTGCTTAAATATTTGTATCTATAAAAAGAATGTGTATATATATATATATATATATATATATATATATATATATATATAACTGTCAGTTATGTGCCATGCGTGATACACTTTCGATACATGACTGACGAGTAGATTTTTTCCCAGCAGTAGGTTGTCATTTTTTTTTCTGCGGTAGACGAGTTGTCATCGAAGGTTATAGAACCAGGTCTGGCCTGCTATTTACCCATAGCTTGCGGGAGAAGAGGATTTGTACCATTCCCAAGGTGCACGTGAATGTTCCGAGTCCCAATTCCGAGCCGCTATCCATTACTCCACCGAGCCTCTCTCTCTCTCTCTATATATATATATATATATATATATATGTATGTTTTTAAACGCTTTATCGGGGGCGGATGTAACCCCAAACTAAAAAAAGCAGATATAATTAATCTATAACGCCATAGATCACCCCATATATTTCTCTCACACGCATACAATACTGTTACTGCATAGAACAGTATACGACGAATAAGGGTTTTACTATTCTCTACTCTAGTTCGCTCACGCTCATCCATATTAGACAGACATGCTTGCAGACAGAATGAGGTCTCACACATGCACACATCACACACACTCCAAAAACTTAAAAGATAACATGCACATAACACACGCAGTCCCCTTCCCAGCAACCAATAAAGCTGTCAAAATGACCAAGGAGGTCAATCTGAGACTCATGAATCCCTCAAACTCTCCTTACAAAACCTTGAAAAAGGCTTTTGACCAATACAAGACTGACCCAAAATTAACGATGAAAAAATGAAAACTACAGGCAGAGTTCATCTTCTTCTGAGATAGTCACACATCCCTATATTTCACTGCTACTAACAAGCAGGAATTTTTTTTTCTTATTTTTACATGTCAGGACAAACTGACGCTTATTCAAAGACAATAGAAAAACATATCAGCGACAAATGTATTATAGATGTGGCCAAGAATGTTGTGCCAATTTGTTGAATTTTAATTCTTTTTAAATTAAAAAGAAAATATATATTCTGGAATCTTCTAAAAGAGGCCAATAGACGAAATGAAAAATGTGGAACCTTTTAAATTATACTGAATAGATGGTAAAACTTGGCTATATTAAAGTTAAATAAATCAAATAGATATTGCGTTGATCATTATATACTAATAAAATAATGGCTATACAGTTATAATATGTAAATATTTATGAATATGTTTTAATTATATTTTAAGGCAAACTGTAGACAGTTCCGGAATAAAACAGTTAATTAGTTGTTTTGGATTAACAGATCTTTATTGCTAGGAAACTTTATAATATGCAATTTTCCTTGTAAACACATCGAACATGAATCATTTAAGAATTTACATGATCTATTTTTTTTAAAGATATTTTCCATTTTATCGTAGGCGTCTTGTTAACTCCTTTTAAGTGCCAAAAATATTTAGAAAGCAACGTTGTGTTACGGTACGGGTTGCTGTTGAAAGATAATATGTGTTGATAGCACCTAGATTTAAATGGAATTTTCGTATATCCGATATAAACTTTTTTTAACTGTTGGATTTTTTCTAGATAAAATAGTACTTAGATAAACAAGGGGATAAGTTTGACATCTGTTTTGTAATTGTTAGGATTTCTACAATTATAGAAGTTGGTATCATTATTGTTTGCTGCTTTGGAATGGATATTGTTACTTAGGTTTAAGTGTTGATTTAAAATTTTATTATTGTGTCTTTTAATAATTTTTCAAGTTTATCTGTACAACTATAGCTTAATTTAAGTGTTTCCAATAATGTAAGACGCTACAAAAATTGATATATTAGCCTGAACGCACGGGTCATCTTCTTCGTACGCTCTAAACTCTCATATGCATGGTGCTGAAATATTCAGAAATGTATAAACTTTCATCCATTTAGTTTTTTCAGATCAAATTCAAAATGGCTTCATCGAATGAATCATTTAGACGATTCTTCACAGACTGGCTTTACAAAATCCCTCCAAAAGTTTATCAAATAGCCAAAATAAAAATAACTTCTAAAAGTCAAAACAAAAACAGTTAGCACCTGTGACTAGAAAATAAAATAACGCTGAAGACTTTAGACACGACCTTAAGCATATGGTTCGAAAGGAAACTTCTATCAATAAAGACATATCGATAAAAAGTAGTAACCTTGGGAATCCTACTCTTCTGAAAAAAATCTCTTTGAAGAGAAAGATTTTATAAACTTCATCCGACAACCGGACTAAATATTTGCTCAATGGATACCGAATATTTCTTGTATGGTAAAGGTTAATTTCACCATTAATATTACCATTTAGTAAAAGAGCGACGCTACCCTTTGAAATAAAACTGAAGTTTATAAGTGTAACCAGTTAAGATAGATTAAGGTAGAAAAAGCGAGAAAGAAAAGGGAGATAACTCCGAACGAAAGAAAATTTGGAAGTCATGTTGAAATAATAGGATACTGACAAAAGCAAATAGCGGAAACAAGAGAAGTGCATTAAGGAATCAGAAAGAGCAGGCCGGATTAATAAAGAACTAAAAATGTTTTTACTAAAAGGCAAAGAAAAGAACATGAGATTAAAGGATGAAAAATCAAGTGTAGAAGAAAGAGAAATACATAATGAAATCATAAAAGAAAAATATATAAATATCAGTAATAATAACAATATATAACGTGATCTCGTGTATAAGTAAACATTGTCTTCCAGCAAAGAAAACCTCATGTTATTATGTCCCTAAGGTATAAGTCACCCCCGCCTCTTTGCTAATAAAACAAATTAAATTAACAAAAATTAAACTAACAAACTATAATCTTTTATTACATATAAAGCAAACATTAGGAAACTCTCAATTTTACATCGGCCTTTGTTCTTCTTTTTCTTCTTCTTCTTCTTTTTCTTCTTCTTTTTCTTTTGTTTCTTAGTCGTATCATTCTTCTTCTTCTCCCCGATTCTTCTCTTACTTTTAATTTTCTGCCTGCTTCTTCTTTTTCTTCTTTGCAAAAATTGATTCTATTCGGGGAGATTGTCCCGTTGAAACTAAACAGGTCAAAACCCATTTGGGTGTAATTATTATTATTATTATTGCTCTTCTTCTTCTTCATTGCTCCATGTCATTTCAGCACGCTATCTTTTCACACCCTCCTATTTCTTGTTGCTCTAAATAATTACCTCTTTGCCATTACTGTTCCTACTCGACCAACTGTCTCTTCCTGATGTTAAGCATAATTGTCCTTTTTCTTTCCATTTTCGCTAAAAATTCGTTGTCGCACACGTGTTCAGCCTACAATATTCTCAGCATCGCTCTGTAGAACAACATTTCTTACGGGAAAAAATTCTGATGTTAAAAATCAAGTAACATCGATGATTTATCCTAATGTTGTCTTCTATGTGAAGTATTCTTTTCGAACTATTGCGATCATGGCTCTTTACAATTTCTTATACTTTGTCGGTCTTAAGAAATTTTGTCTTCTGTTAATCTCCCCTAAAACTTCATCAAGTTTGCTAGGTAGGTTATGTTCTGATTTTCTTTGTCCTTCTTGCTTTTAATTTGTCCTGTGAATATCAAATTTTCCAAACTTTCTTTTCACATTATGTACCCTAGAAATTTAAACCATCTCTACCTGATGTTAAATATAACTGTCCATGTTTCTATTTTCTCTAAAACTCCGCTGTCGTTCGCATGTTCGGTCCGTATTATTCTCAGTAACCTTCTGTAGAGCAACATTATTTTTGGCTTAAAGTTTCTTCTTCCTCTGCGTGGAAATTGTTCAGTATTCACTGACACATAGGAGGAGTGATATTACGTAACTGCATTATTTATTTTATTTGTTTCTAACGCAGTTTTCCTGTCTCTTAATACTTTCCTTATCTTTTGGAAGTTACCTTTTGCTATTTCAATGCACGTAGGAATTTCGCTGTCGTATCTTGGGTCCTCTGTTAAAACACTTCCTCGATATTTAAATTTTTGCATTTGTTTGATTCTGGTATCTCCGATTCGTAATTTGCATGTGCGATTGTCCATTTGCTTACAACCACATATTCTGTCTTCTTGAAACTGATGTTAATCCTTTATTCTGAGGTTATGTATAAGTACCCTTTTTGTTTTCATTTTCTCTAGTACTTTCTAGTTCAGTCCATGGTATTCTCAGCAGCCTTCTGTAGAAACACGTTTCTATTGTCTCCCGTCATTTTTGAGGAGATTTTCCAGGCTTCACTGCCATATAGGAGGACTGTTGTTTCGTAAAGTCCCTCTTTTCTTTGTCTATCGAATTTTTTCTGTTTCTTAATACTTTTCTTAGCTTATGGAAGGCGTCTTTCTCTATCCTAATGCACCTTTGGTTTCCAGTGTTGCATTTTCCATCATCTGTCAAAACTCTTCCCAGTAGGTTATTGTAATTTTGTACATATCTCGAAAATCAGCATTCAAAAAATTTTTTTCTGGATTCTAAAACCAGTCCCTGATCCCGATGTAGAAGAATGTATCTATCACAGCTTGTACATTTACTGGTATATTAACGAAGATCAGGCAGTTAACTCATCAGTATTGATTTAAACAGACATTAGCTAATATATAATTCGATTACATAATTCTTTCTTCGTAAAATCATCATTCGACTCGTACACGAGTATATTTGATTGTGTAAAATGGAAGTAAATAAGGTATAATTAAAAATAAAAGAAAAAAAAGAAAACTCTTTTATGGAACCTCCAACGAACTGGAGAAAGGAAAAACGTGAGGAAACATGAGGAGAAGCTAAAACAATATCAAAAGAGAGAAGAAAGAAAAAAAAAAAGAAATATAAAATATATGAAAATCCTTAAAAAAAGCAGGAGAGAGACGGGCTTTCCAGAATCTTAATTACTGGCAGAATACGCACTTTGAAGTCTGAGGCTATCATTATTAGGTTTTAATATGCACCTGTGTATATTAATGGTCGTTCAGTTACTGCCCATATAAGGATCTGATTCATCCGATGAAATTTTGCACGAACATTATTTTCAATCAGCGATTTACTAGATTAATTAATAGCCATTCCTCTACGATTTCGACATAGATGAACGTGTGAACTTACAGTGTTTAATTATTGCATCACTTTTTTCCGTACTTTCATGTTTTCTCCTACCTATTAAACGTAATCTTGTCGATATGTTGGTATGGGAATGATAGATAAACTAATAATAAATGAATGTCACAGTGAATCGTAAATACACGTTTAAAAAAAAAAAGCAGACAAAATGGAATATATCGGTAAAAAAATGAAAAAACAAAATTCTAGAAGAGAAAAGATAAATGGAAAATCTGATCAAAAGGCGCATTCGAATAGCGAAGGATATCTACGAATAGCTAAACAGGCGATAGAAAATAAAAGAAGTCTTTAGATGTAAAAAGAAAACACTACTGGCCTGTTATGTAATATCGGTCCAATGCTGGACAATCTCCTCACAGATGAAGAAGAGACTTGAGACAGCAGAAATATGGTTCAACAGAAGGACACTGATAATATCACGGACTGAAGATATGAGCAACGACTAAACCAAAAGGACAATTATTCTTAAAATCAGAAAAAGATAGTCGAAGTTTCTGGGATGCATAATGAAGAAAGATGTTTTAGAAAACTTGACACTCACTAGAGATATAGAAGACCCGAAGGCCAGTGAAAAGCATATCTTACTTAACGAGCTTGTGTAAAAAGCTGGCAGACTATGGATTAGGAGAGAGTTTAAATAAAATCATACTTATTATAAAACCCAGGTTGTGTGTGTGTGTCTGTACGTTTATATATTGGATCGGATTTCCTACATTTTTCAACCGATTTCAAAACTTCACAGGACTACGTAAAATTACATTGCGGTGGTTCTGACAGCGCCAAAAATTGGAAAAACACAATTGTTTTGGCACGAAATCAATTTGAAAACACGATTAAGATGCATCGCGAGAATGAAAGGGGGACAACTCATATCGAGTTATACTTAAAACCCAGGTTGTTTGTGTATGTGTTCGTTTATATATGGATCGGATTCCTACATTTTTTTCAAACGATTTCAACAAAACTTCACTTTTTTTTTGGCAGGTAGTGTTTCTTATTGTCTTGCACACTTTTTTCTTTATTTTTACATTCAGAATGCTTTAAAAATTCCATTTACAAGAAAATTGCTTATAATAAAATTCTATTCAATCGGTAAACTCATAACGATTGAAAACAATGTTTTTGTTTGAGTTTGACCAATTCGTAAAAAACAAAACAAAAAAAAAACTAATTGAGACATGCGTGTCCGTCAACCTTAAACAATAATCTTTGTCAATTTTATTTTTCAGTCTTCATGATGGTCGATACTTGATCTATCTCTTGACTGTTACATCCCCGGGCAACGCCGAGCTCTACTGCTAGTAATTACTAAGAGCTACAAAGGTCAGGAACTTGTGGAGAGCTATGATTGCTTACACCATGGAGGAATACCGAAGATCAAAAATATTAAAATGTCCATTATTCGAGAGAGAGAGAGAGAGAGAGAGGTTATAGAAAGAAGGAAAAATTAATAAAATGGTGATGTCGGTTGATAAAAGCGCTGGGCTAATAAAACCAGGTGTGTGTGCGGCTATCAGCAAATATATTGAGACAAGCTAACCGAGTTCAAATTCAGGTCGAGACCGTTACGTAAAATGTTATACTTTTGGGGAAAGGTATAAATACATTTCTCCTCTACCCAGCTTAAATAGTAGAGCAGACTGAGTCCTTTAACCTGGAGTAGAATCTTATGAAAAAAAAAAGAAAGTAAACTTTTTTTTTTGCGCTGAAATATGTTAACTTACACGACTCTGATTTCTGCCACAGTGCGTTTTTATGGACCGATGCATCCCTACGGGTGGCCCAGGCTTTTTGGGAAATGGATGATTTTATCGAATCACCACTTTTAGAATGTTTGCCAACCAATACTATAAAACCGAGTTTGTCTTGCTGTTTAACGCATTTTTTAGCTGAATGGGGAAAGAGATTGATTTAAAAAAATATATATTTCCTAAGGATATCTGCGCGTAAGTTAATGCAAAGAATTCGGCTGGGATTCGATCTTCGCTCTCCGATTCATTACACAACACGCACATTTCTGGCAGCCAACATAAGAAAGGAATAACACCAACTTCAAGCAATTTCACTTCACTTAGTTTGGTTGAGTCCCTATGCTACAGAGGAAGAGAAAAGAAGCTTCTTAAACGAACAAATCTTCGGCAAGATTAGCTTCGTAATAATTACAATAAAAGCTATTTTACTCATACAGGTAACAGCTTAAAAGAGAAAGAAGAAAAAAAATTCTATTATAGCGAAATCACAGGGAATGAAATTCGGAGAAGCGTGAGGAAAAGAAAAGAGACAAGCATGCGTGAGTAATCTGGGATTTTTATCGATGCAATTAACTCAAATTGTCTCGTGTAGGAAAGATTTCTACTTTGGAAATCATTAAAAGTAAAAATATCCTAAAACCTTAACCCGACCCTCACTATCAAATATATCATCATGTCGCATTATTTGCGCGCCCGGGAAGATTAGAAACTCATATTTGAGTTTACAGTCTACGCATATTTCATATAATTTTGAGCATGCGCAGACAGAAAACTCATATTCTGAGTTTACAACCTGCGCATATTTGACATAATTTTGCGCATGCGCCGATTGGAAACTCATATTTTGCCTTTCGGGAAATCACTTTTTTTAATGTATAATTTCAGTTGTTGAGTATTTTTTTTTTCCTATCGAAATTCTTATGTTTCCCAATGATTTGTTTAGATTTCGTAAGACATCGCCCTTGCATGAAGTATTGATGCCATATATGTTCTGGAGCCCCTTCTGTTTGCCTCGAGGTTCTTGATAAGATCCAGAGACGGATATGCAATATAATTGGCCCTCATCTGGCATCTCGTCTACAG